CCTCTGCTAGCTATTTCCGCACATAATCTTATTTGACCATCTTTATGCAGTGAGATAGATACTGTCACAGTCCCCATTTTATAGACGGTGAAACCGATAACCAGTAAATGGCAAGGCCCAGATTCCAGGCCTTGGTTAAACTCCCCGTAAAATCTTACACTTCTACAGAGTACTTAGCACAGCGTAAGTACCGAAAAATGAAATGGCTAAGTTGGAAACCATTTCAGAGCTGATCACACATTTGCGTGTCCACCAGCTATTTGTGTCTGGAAGTTGAGGACACATAGAGTGCCCCGGATCATTTTACTTAAACATTTTGTTTGTTTGTGTATCTGTTTGTTTTGAACCACACGAGGCATAATTCTTGGTGCTGGGTGTTACGGTGCCTGCTGTCATGGGCCTTTCGGGCCAGGTAAAATGCAGCAAATAAGAAGGAAAAGAAAAAGAGGACAGAGTGCATAGATCTCCTCACACGAGATCACCTACCAGCTGCCATCTCCCCGGTGCCTGTGCGTGACAGCTGGACTGTGGGCTGGTGCTCGGTAACTACCTAGAAAGGTAGTAGTAGCGAGAATTTACAGATAGAGAGCCTGGGGTGCGAGAGGGGTGAAGTGCTTCTCCCAGGTCACCTGGCTGGCTGCTGTGTGAAGGAGCCGGGCTTCAGGTGAAGGACTCTGGGTGCCCAAAGGAACCAACCACACATACACTGCCTCACTTTAGGAGTCATCTACAACCCCAGAAGTGCGTCCCACTGGAAAGAACCAAGCCTGATTCTCCTGAGGTCTCTGCTGTAGCTCCCCTGTCACCTCCTGTGTCATCTCTGAATCTGCGCTGGTGGGAAATGCCAGCCACGCACGGGTCTTTACCTGGCACCTCTCCCCGTGCTGCCTATACCAGCTCAAACCCTGCTTGGGGTGTGTGGATGGGCAGTGTGGAAGGGGGGACACTGAGAAAGCGACTGTCCCTTCCCAGCATGTCATTCCTTCTTGTCCTCCCCATGCCCTGACCATCCACTTCTCATGTGGAGCTGGCACACGGGCTGTATCCGGATCTGTCCTTTTGCCAGAGCCATGGCTCCTGCTGCTTGATGGCACCTTGACATCAGAGTGAGGTGCTTTGCAGGGCGCCTCAGTTCAAACTCCTGGGCATCCAAGCCGTGCATGTCCCCAGGAACCTTCCTCGCCTTCCAGTGTCATCAAAGCATGCAACTCTGGGTTTTCCTCCTCCTCCTCCCCATAAACAGAGATCATTTTGTTGGAGTTTAATAGTTTTTCCTTCTGCATCAATGGCGTATTTACCTTTTTAAATTTATGTGCTCCTTTCGTCTCAGTGTTACATATTTGGTGCATTTCTGTCCCATGTGCTTGCTGAAATCCTAGCGTTTGAGTGGGTTCTTGCTGTTTGGCTCACGTGTGACAACAAGGATGAAGAATTCTCGGGGTTTTTGTCTTAGAGAAGAGCTAGAAGTAGCCCGCATGGAGTTGTCCACACTCCCACTTACAGAGCCTGTTAAATGATGTTCGCTGTGGACTCCGCCGAGTCTGTCTGAAGGAGAGCGTGGAGGGCTGGGAACTGCACAGTGGATTCTGGCACCTGGCTGGCTGGGCTGCATCCCAGTTCCTTCGCTTACGAGCTGTAGAGCCTTGGACACTGTTCGCTGGTTCTGATCTTCTAGTTCCGTCACCTCTAAAACAAAAGCAGTGGCCAGATCTATCCTGGGCTTGTGGCGAGTCTTCACTGAGGCTCTAATGAAAGCAGAGCGCCTGGCGCTCCATAAAGGCTCAGTAAATCTTAGCCATTTCAGGATCACACATTAAATTATTGGACACACTTAAGAAATCTTTTTTTGTTTCCTGTGCATTTAAAATGGTGTTTTTCACCTGGACTTTAAGGAGTTAGGGGTGATAATGGCAGCTACCTCTCCCTTGCAGACTGTGATTAAAGCAAAGCGCTACTTAGTGACTTCACTTTCTATAAAAGTCAAGAAGAGAAGAGAAGTAAGACTCGAGGAAGAAAACTCAGAATTATTCCTAGAACTACAGTAAGATGCTAGGGTACAAATACTAGCTTGGGGTGAGGGTGTGCTGTCCCAGAAACAGAAGTCAGCACTGCAAAGACAGATGACCTTTCCTGTTGCGTCTCCTGCTTGTGAAGACTATCTTGGAGGCCACTTGGGCTTTAATATCTGGTTAATTAGGACTTCAGGATCCAACTTGGGCTCCCTGAGTTCCTGCCCCCGGAGCATTCCATGTGTTTGCGCACGTTTCCTGTGCTACGCTGCTACATCTGGCAGGCAACTGTTGTCACGAACGTGGTGATGGGTGTCCGTCAGCGACGTGATGAGATGGGTAGGGGACCTGGGGAATTGGAGTGTGAAAGGCTTGAGGGAAGCGTCAGGCAGCCAGAGTTCCAGCCCTGCCTTTCATGTTCTCTTCTCAGCAGAGATGGAGTCCAGTCCCGTCTTTAAGTGTGCTAATTTACAAATGTGAGTGTGAGTACTAGTGCCACACCGTTGTACACTTACAAATGGTTAAGCCGGAAATTTTGTTTAAAACTTAATTTATATCCCTAAGCCATCATGTTCTTTAACTGAATGATTGTGGTATGTGAATTATATCTTGATAAAGTTATTCGAAGTATAAGAACATTATATAATCTTTTTCTGTTAATACAAAGAAACTTTTTTACATTGCCACACTTAAATAATGTAACATGTTAATGGTAGGAAAGAGACAACTTTATTTTGAACAAATTTCAAACATACAGAGAAGTTTTGAGAGTTGCAACGGGAACTCAGACTCGTTGCATAGATTCATGCATTGTGAGAATTTCCTTTGTTCCCTGCACGCAAAGGTGCTGGCCTTTGATATGATACTGGATTCTTTCTTTCTTTCTTTTTTTGGCTGTTTTTATTTTAGTCTCTCTTTTTTTGTGTTCACTGTACCAGCCATTTATGGGTCCCTTGTGAACTGAAAGTTCATGGCCCTTGCATCTTCTGTACTTACAATGTGTTTAACTTCTTTGATGTGTTAACTTCTTCATTTTGTCCAGATTTTGTATGTACTTTTTCTGGAACCGCCTATTAAATGGATGTTGGACCGCCCTGATTTTCTCTTCTTTTCTGCCTTCTTTTGTTTGTTTAGTTGTTTAATCTCTTTGTTTACCAGTCTGGAATATTTTATCTTTATCATAGAGTCTTGTACTAAAAAAAAAAAAAAAAGTAAATAATCGTGTTTTTAACATCTAAAAGTTCTTTATGTTCTTTGACAGATCATTTTAAGGAAAAATAAAAGTTTATCCTTTTTGTTTTTTGGAGTTTTTTTTTTTTGTTTTTGTTGTTTCCTTTTTTTTTTTTTTTTTTTTTTGTCTTTTTGAGACAAGGTCTCACTCTGCAGTTCAGGCTGGCCTTAGACTCACTTTGTAGCCCAGACTGACCTCGAACTCAAGCAATCCTCTTGCCTCAGGCTCCCAAGTGCTGTGATTACAGACATGTGCTACCACACCCAGCTAGCAATTTATTCTTGTTTCATGGGTGGAAACTCTTATCTCCTTGAGGATGTAACTTATTATCTGAGTTTCCTTCTGCCTCTTCTGTTGTCTCTGTTTCTTTCGAGTTCCTCTTTTCTTTGTTCCTTGGTTTCTGTTGCTCCTACTGAAGATGTTCTGGAAATGGCTGTGATTCCAGAATCTGTTCATGATTAAGAGGGAAGCATTAAAAGCTGATCACAGGTTCTTTGTGTGAGGCCGCCTGTTGCCCGGAGGGTGTCCCTGGGAGACGGGCGCTGCCAGGCTGGCCACATGGCCACCAGCGGCTTGGGAGCTGGTAGGGGAACAAGACTGCGGGCTCCTTGCTCAACGTGAAGATCCTTGAGCACAGGAGGATTCTGGTTGAGGTAACTGTGCTGAGATGTCGGATGGGAATCTCCTGGACTTACATGATGGGCCCAAGCTCACTGCCCACCAGAAGGGCCGCTGCGTACACTTACAAGTTCTCTGTCTGAGGAAGAAAGGGTTGCCCATATTCTGTATCAGTGGGGCTTGACGGGAAGAGGCAGGTACATCTCTGCAGCTGATACTTGCTATGTGTTAAGCGATCTGGGGGACATTGCTAAGGAAGCATTTTCTTGATCAATTTAAAGAAAAACAGTTGTGATCATCAGTTGTGGTCATCAAGCCCCACTGGGAGGTTGAGCAGCATATTACATAGCATGCAGGTTCACATGCTATGTAATGCTTAATAAAAATAAAATGAAGGGGCTTGGGATTTAGCTCAGCGGCATAAGTGCCTGCCTTGCAAGCAGGTGGTCGTGAGTTCGATCCCTGGTACCGATAAAAAAAATAAAATAAAATAAAATAAAATGAAAAGGAAAAACCTATTTTTAGCCTGTCGCTCCTCTGCTATGCCACTGTTACCCTGTCTGGAGCCTCAATTTCTTCAGGGAATAAACTTCCCTTCTCCATATCCAGTGGGAAAAGTACTTTTCTGCATCTCTAATGCTCCTGATACGCATTTGTAAGCAGTCTGTGCCTCCAGTGCCGCCCCCCTTACCTTGCCAGGCCTGGTGAGTTTCGTCCCCACCCTCCGTGGGGTGCCTGCCAGCTGCCCCCCTGCTGTCCCCTGTCACCCACATGGCCTTCCAAAGCTCTTTCATTCTGTTGGCAGCTCTTCTCCCACTTCTGTGCCCCTGGAGTTATTGTTATTATTATTTCTATTATTTTATGTTCAGCTGCCCTGCCCGTGGTTTGAGGGAGGGAGCAGAGGTAAGCACCACTCTCCGATCTCAAATTTAACCTGACATCTCTTTTCAGCAGCGAAAGTTCTCAGCTCTGTTCTTGATGGTATCAGAGCCAAAGCTCCCTAAAGGGAGTCTGTACAAACTTTAAGGAGAGGGAGACTTGGATCAGTCGCTCAGCTCCCGGCCTGGCCGTAGCCAAGTGTCCTGATGATGCTTGGTTCTGCTGCTCCCCGCGCTGACCTGTCCTCCTCTGTCCTCTTGCAGAAGTGGAGCAGTGTGAGCAACCCGCTCTTCCTCCCGCTCATCCCACCGCAGTCGCAAGGCTTCACCGCCATCGTCCTCACCTACGACCGAGTGGAGAGCCTCTTCCGGGTCATCACTGAGGTGTCCAAGGTGCCCAGTCTGTCCAAGCTGCTGGTCGTCTGGAATAATCAGAATAAAAACCCTCCGGAAGGTAAGGAGAGTGCGGAAAGGCTGCACTCAGGGTGCCTGCCTTGGACTGGGGTACAGCTCTCTCTCTGCAGGCCCCCGTTGTTATTCGCATCTCTGTTTGAGATGAATTCTGCTTTGTCAGCAGCAGCGTGTTCCTGCACAGCCTGGGCCAAGTTCTCTGTCATCGCGTTCGTGCTCGAGGGTGGCCCACTTATTCCCCACCCTGGCATCCTCTGCAGCCACAAGTTTCTGAGGGCTTAGGAGTTAGGAGGATCAAAGGCTCTCCCAGCCTTGGGAAAGAGGGCCCCCACTTCCCTCAGCCACGCAGCTGATCTGTTTACATGAAAGCTCAGTTTAAAAGGCATTAGTCTTCTCCTTCCTTATCTCTCCTCCAAGAAGAAAAGAACCTTAAAAAGGGTGGCCTCACTCGTGACTGCGAAAGGACCAGCAGAGCTCCCCTGGCAGGGGAGTCAGCACTCCAGCGAGCTCCCCGGAGGCTGCCACTGGCTCCTCCCCAATCGCTCTGTCCCCTGCCTTGGCCACCCCTGCAAGCAACTGGCTGGCAGCTAGGGTTGGAGGACTATTTGATTAATTGGATTTGTTTTTAATTCGGTGCCCATAGAGTACGTTCCACCTGCATTTAGTTTCTCATTCAGTCTGTCTATTACTGATCCTAATCCCAGGGACTTCAAAGCTCCTGCCATTTATAGCCTATTAAAGCCAGGAAGTTTCTGATGGATTAGAGCGAGGAATGAGTTTGAAGTTTGTAATGTGCACCACCGTCACCGATAAGGTCTAGTTTATTGCCTGACAGTAGTATCTGTGCTTTTTATGGCTGGTGCTTTTAATTGATTATGTGAAGCCAGGTAGTGGGCCTACAGACTCCCAGGAGTGGCTCTCTCCTCGAGGCTGGGGGAGCACCGTATTCTGTCTCTCTTAGGCAAATTGGAATTGGCTCAAGAAGATTCTTCCATGCCTTCTGAGACACTGCGAAAACTCCATGGGCTCTCTGTGCTCTGAAAGCACTTGTACACTTTCCACTTGGGTTTGGGAAGCTGCGCTTTGTGTGAATAAGATGGCTATTTTAAATGCAATTCCTCTATTATGCTCTGAAGCACAACGGATTTTTTTCTCAAGAGCTTTCTGTGTCAACTTTTTTTCCTCCCTCACCACTGCACAGAGCCAGCTTTCTGGATTTTTTTTTTATTCTACTTGTTCAGTTTTTAATGAAGGAGAAGGAAGGGGGAAGAGAGAAGGGAAATGTTGGTGTCACCTAAGTGAGAGAGGAGAATGCCTCAGAGGCTGAGCTGCTGGACAGAGGAGGAAGTCAGAGGGGCTCTGCCGCCCCGGGACCCATCACAGCCGGCTCCATCCACAGCAATCGCCTTGCCCTGGTGAAGTGAGTGCCATGGCCCTGCCTGCCTGATTCACCCCTTTGCTTGTGCTGCATTTTAAGAAGGCCATGCAGCCCTTGTGGGTCTGGGAGGCCCTGTATGCAGACTCACGTTCATGCAAAGGCAGCCAGTGTGGGGACAGCCTCGAGCCCCTCTGCGGGGGGTGGAAAGGCAGAAAGCAGATTCTGTGCGGAAGTCATGGAAGTGCTGATGCCTCCGACTGGACCGTTCCAGTGTGCACACACACTGGATGATCGCTGAGTACCCTGAAATACACGCAAGCATCATCCGTTAATCGAAAATACAACTGAAAACCTAGACATGGTGGTGCACACCTGTAATCCCAACACTCAGGAGGCTGAGGCAGGAGGGTTGCCGAGAGTTTGAGGCCAGCCTAGGCTACATAGTGAGTTCAAGCACAGCGTGAACTACGTAGCAAAACCCTGTGTCAAAAAACAAACAAAAAACATTTAAAAAGTGCAAAGGAGTCCTCCCTTTAAACCTGAGGCACTTTAGGCATTAGATGAATGATTTGTTGTGGGCTTGACTCACTTTTAGGGGCAGAGATGAGAAAGGAGAAATCTTTCCCTCCCTTCTGGTCCACACATCTGCACTGATGTAACTAAAGGCAGAAGCACCAGGCCAGGTTTGGGAGGTGGGTGTCGCGTTTTATTTTTGGTCCACCCTGTTCAAATGCAGTGGTTACTTTCGCGTTGACCAAGAGTTTGGCTTATTTTTCAAATCCCTCCACTCTGGGGAGGAAGGAGCGCTCTGAGTTGATGAGGCCCTAATTTTGACACATGTTGTGATGGGCTGGCTTCTTTTCAACAGTGGTTTTTAGGTCAGGGCCCTGGCTCTGGCGAGGTGGCTGTTTGGGTAGACCGTGAACCGTGTTTAATCTTCTGCGGGCTGTTTGTTTAGTTGGTAAACGGGGCTGTCAGCTCCGCTCCGCCAGCCAACTCATCTGATTTTTCATGGACAGCATTAGTAACATACATATTAAAAACAAAATTGTGCCGGCCTAAGGCTTTGAAATGTTAGAGGCGAAAGTCATGTTTTTCACTTTCTCTGCATTTACTAAAATAAATATTGTGGTTACCACGTCTGCTGCTGGGAGGGTTAGCGTAGGCAACAGTCTACCTCCTCCCGTTTTTTTTTTTTTTTTTTTTTAATTTTCCAACCCAACCAAATAACGTTTTTCTTTCGATCACAGTTAAGTCTAAATTGCTGGGTTTGAAGTTTAAGTAAATACTGAGCCTAGGCAGTAGAAATTTCCAGCGCAGTCTCGTCATATTAGTTTTAAGCTCCGTCAGTAAAAAGCCAGGCTGTTGCTGGCCCCTCCCCCCAACTTCTCAGCTTCCAGGCTTGATGGGAGTAGAGGTCATTTGCCTTTGCCCTGGCCTCTTGAGCTGTCCGTTTTGCCTAATCCAGCCTTCAGTTTTAACTGACTTCATTTTTAAATTTGAATCCCATCAGGGGCCTCCCAGCTTCCAGTTGTGACATCATAGTCCCTGGTGGGCAGGACAGGGGTGTCTGAGCACGACAGAGGGTCAGCACTGAAGGTCAGCAGTCGCTTTCCGTTGAGCTGGATACTGAGGCTGGGAAACTGGGATCACAAGGCACAAGTCCACACCATACAGCGTGGCACACCGCATTCCCGCAAAGCAGTCTGATCGTTAGCTCTGGGCGGATAACAGTGCAGACAGGGTGTTTCATAGTGCCTTCGCTGAGTGGCTCAGAATACCCTTTGCTCACGGTGCCGCTGGATCTGACATGGAGAACGCTGTTAATCAATGTCCTGTAAAAAAAAGGAGGAGGAGGAAGGTTGAGAAATGGGTGGGGGACGAGGAGAGGAGGCGGAGGATCATCATCATCATCATCATGGTCATCATCGTCATCATCCTCCTTGACACAGTTGTGTTTCTTATTTGAACTGGACTAAAGCTCATACCGCGAAGCGATCAGGTCATCTGTTTTTGTTCAGCTGTTTCCATAAATTCGGTCATATCTTAGTTTGCAGGTTAGTTTTTTCTGTGTGTGTGTGTATGCGATGAGAAGGTGACGTTTCTGTTCCCAGGATGAGACCCAAACCACAGGAGTCATGTGCTGTCCTGTTTAGAACGTAAAAGGGGTGAGGTAGAGACCCCCATGGGGCTTTATGACACAGCAGAGCCAGGAGATTCCTGGCTTCCCCATAACCTTCTGTCTAGACTGCGGCAGCTATCAGCAGGGAAGGGGTGGGAAATGGCCTCAGGAGAATCTGTCTGTAAGATAACAACCCGAGATTGATAGAGACCTTTCCTTCCTGCCCTCTCTATCCTGGGAACGGGATGGGGTGGCCGAGTGCTTTGCACACATTATCTCTGGTCCTTACGACAAACCTGTAAAGGAAGCTGTTATTACCCTTCCTTTAGAATACTGAGGGCGGGGATGTAGCTCAGTGACACAGCGCCTGCCTAGCAAGCACCAGGTCCTGAGTTCGATTCCCAGTACAAAAAAAAAGAGAGAAATTCAGGTGAGTAATTTGCCTAAATCACAAAGTTGTAAACGACCAAGACAGAAACAAACACAGGTCTCCGTGGATCCAAAGCTCACGCCCTTTGCCCAGGGCTCACTGCTTTTATTTCAGTTACAAGCCATTTAGCTGCAGGAAATCATCCCGTTTTGTTACCTGATTCAGGATTCTGTAGCACCAGACCTTGGTCAGGGGACTCAGAGAAAAGTCAGGTTATTCTTTTGAAATGCTGATGGGAGGAAAAATCTTTTTTTCACGTACATTCTTCTTTCTTACCTTACTGCTTGCATCTCCTGCTACTGGCTCAATGCCCTTTTCTTAATCGTAACTTTTCCAGACTTGCATTCATCTGGAGCAGGGCAGAGAAACAGCTGGACTTCTGCTTGGAATCCTGTCTTGTGATTGTGATGGTCTGTGGACAACTGACCCTGAAGATGGAGGCCACTTTTGTCTAAGTGACATTGGTGACCCAGACCTAACTTAGACCAGGGAGTCATCGTATTTCTGATACAGCTGTGACTCAGCCTCCATCTCCTCTTGAACCCCCTTGGCCTTGATCACTCTCTAAATGCCCCCACCTAGAGACTCCACAGGGACACCCCAGCTCTTTATGGGCGTCATCCCCAGGGATGCTCTGGTTTCCTGTAGGTGACAAGTGCAGAGGGTTTTGGGCAGTAAGCTTGCTGTCCACACTCTAAATGGAAGTCCAGGATACTGTAATGTAGGGACGAGTTTCTGCTTAGCCAAAGCAGTCGGTGTGCTTTTGTACTGAGCGTGGAAAGGAAATCATGTTACTTTATGGGATCAGTGTGGCAAAAGTTCCATGTTCTTTAGTTTCTAAGTGAGCCGGTCTCAGCTCCATGGCAGGGATCGATTGCACTGATGGAAAAGTGGGCACGGCAGGTATGAGCTGGAGGCACATCACTGGATTGTTGGGGACATGCCCCTCTGCCAGCACTCTTTAAGGTTCCTAAAACATCCTTTGCTTTTGTAAACGGCACTGGCTTTCATGAGAAGGCAGTTGATATTTATTTTGTTTTGGTTTTTTGTTTTTTGAGACAGGATCTTTCCATGCAGTTCAGGATGGTCTTGAACTTACTATGTTCCAGCCTCGAACTCAAAGCAGTCCTCCTGCCTCAGCCTCCCAAGTGCTTGGATGACACGCATGCACCACCATCCCCAGCTACAGCTGACATTTAGTGCATGCCCTCAATGTGCCAGGCACCATGGAGATGGGCTCTTCATTTCTTATCTGTGGTAGAAAGTGACCAACGTCTTCAAGGTCACATAGCTAGTGAGCAGTGATGCCCAGGCTGCCCCACACTGTACTTACCATGCTGTGTTACTGTTTCCTGGAACCTGGGCTCAGCTGATGGTCGGTCGAAATCTGACCAAAGTTAGCGCTTTTCAAGTAAAAGAGCACATTGTGCTGCTGAAGGCATTTTATTCTGTCTTCAGACAGATTATACCAGCAGGAAATTCTTACCTAGTTTCTCTGGAACTTTCACCAGACATTGGTTATGGTTCCAACTCTGGGGGCCGTAGAGAATTCCCTTTTCATCCGATAACTTAGTGATATCCCTTGTGTAATAGGGTTTGATGAGAAGGCGGAAACCACACCACAATTGCAACAGGAAAAATGTAATATATAAAATCATTAACCTATAACAAGATTTGTCTGCCTAAAGAGAGAGAGAATGCTAAAGACTGCTGGAGTAAACTGAGGAGAACCACAGTGCCCAGCCTCCGCCTGGCCTGAGATTAGGCCTTTGTAAGAGAGGGTAGAGTCGTGGCTCCCTGGATGCTGAAGCCTGTCAAGAAGCAGCCACCCATCGGATGGGTGCCCACAGGATCAAACAGGAAGCTCACCGGGCTAGGAAGGCAGCCAAGGCTGCAGTGGAGCTCGCCCCAGGGGTGCCTCTTATACTTGCTAGGGGCTGTACCCCGGCTTGCGGGCCAGTGCTGCAGGCCCACCAGAACCAGCAAGAACAGCCCCCTGCAGTCCTTCAGTGCCCTCTGCTGACAGAGCTCTCCACTGTGTGCCAGCTGGCAGGGAGAGGCATTGCAGGGCCAGCGGGCCCCGGGCACAGCTGGGCAGCAGGCTGAATGTGACGTTGCAAGGTGGGAAATTGCTGACCAGCATGCTTGGTTTCTGTAGGAATGCTGGATTCCCAGGCTGCACTGTCCCCAGAGCTCCTTCCGAACTATTCATTGGCTACCCAGGGTGTCCCTGAGCTCCTTCGAGGTGCCCTGGGAGGTTGGAGTTGTTCACGTGGTGATACTGAGGCTTGAGTTCTGCTCCCATCTTTGATTCTCCCATAAGGGCACAGTGGAGTTTCCCAGAGTGAACGTGGGACAGGATGAAACCATCAGTCTCCAGGCTGAGGAATGTGTGTTTGTGTTGGAAAATTTTCCTCAGGTTTAGTTCTGAACACACTCCTAGTGGCTTTGCTGGGAAACCAGCTAGAACCTCAGTGCAGGCTACCTGGAGCCACCCCAGGGGTGTAAATTAAACTACTTTAGGACTCTTCGATTTTAAGGACGTGAAGGGATTCTGAGAGCAAAACGTCTGAGGAGCCGTGGTCTAATAGGTAGGGCTACCCCTGCTTCATTTTAGGTACTATACTTTTTGATAAGGATCTGGGAACCATGGGTGTATGACAGGGATTTTATTTCTCCAAAGCAAAGAAGAATACACATGATTATAGAAAAAATTACTGAACCTACATAGTCTTATTCCAGGCCTAGAGAAATAGAATAGGGATCTTTAGGCTTCAGTGGATGGTACAGGTCATATTTGGTCTTCGGTCCCCAACAGACTTAGGTTCCACTACTGGCCTTGGCATTATTATCTGAGTCTCACTGAACCGATCACTTCGCTTCTCTGAGCCACATACAGCTTTATATATAAATTCTGCCCCGTGGGGGGGATTGAATGATGCTGTGTCTATAAAGGACCCATGTGGTGTAACACAGCTCCCCTTCTCAGCTTGTTTGTCCCCTGAGAACTAGGCTTGCTTGGATCTAATAGATAATGTGGAGACTCAGGTCTCCAGCCTCCCGGTTGTGGGCTGTGTTCATTGTTCATCCCAGAGGTCCTTACGGATACGGAATGAATGAATGAAACTAGAATTAACTCGTTAGCAGTTAAAAGGCAGTGGCAGGAAGGGTGATTTTGATTTTTAGTCTAGGGCTCAGCCCTCCCCCAGACACACTTCCCTTCGAATGGACGTTATTGTTTCAGGCTGTCTGCCACAGGTAGATAGAACATGGTGACTGTCTTCCTTAGAAGCAGTACATTACAGGGTCGCATCATAAGTATGTACACGTCGGATATTCTACCCACGTCAGTAAGACTGCCTCGCTCTGCCTTTGTGGCCTCAAGACCCACAAAATACAGATCTCTTCTCAATTTCACAGTTGACATCTTGAAATCGGTATGATACCCGGCTTCCCTGGTCACACCTGACACATGTTATGTGAAGAACAAGAACACTGGGGTCAGGTGAAGTATTAACTTCGGGCTCTGCTAAATGCAACCTATTAAAGTAAAGGACCTGCGGTGGAATCATTCCAGTTATTTCAAAGTAGAATGAGGGAAAGAAACATAAGGCAAGTTGTGGGTTGGTGTTTCTTCAGTATCCTAGAAAATCCCACATAATTGGGCCTAGAAATTTGATATTTACTCTATAAATTGGTCATGATGAGAATCCAAACCTAGTGAGTCAGGAGGAGGGCATAAAGTGCTCGGTAAGGAAGGCAGCACTCGTGCAGGGAAACCTGCCGCTGGGAGGGGGATCTGAGCTGCTCCACTGGCTGTGGCCGGGCTGGACGGCCCAGGAGGCAGGCATCCCGGGTGTGAACACATTTCCGAGTGGCCGGCCTGCAGCTGGGTCACCAGGTGGAAGTGCATAGCAGAGGAATTGGCAGAGATGGCAGAGACCAAGGCAGCAGTGGTCCACGCTCACTGTTACTGTCATCGTGAGCTCAGTCATGCTGTCTCAGTCCCTTCTGATTGCAGGGACAAAATACCAACAGACACCCACAGTTTAAAGGAGCAGAGATAGAGTTGGCTTACAGTTTCTGGGGGTTCAGTCCATGGTTGGCCGAGTCAGGGTGGAAGGGCACGGTAGAAGGGCCCGGCAGAAGAAAGCTGCTCACCCCCTGGCAGCCCGGAAGCAGAGAAGGGGTAGGGAGGAACCTGCAGCAAGAACACAGCCTTCCAGGTCCCACCCGCAGTGACCCGAGTCCAGCCACGCTCCACCTCCTAACAGCACGTGGAACCCTGAACTCGCCCCTGGATGAGCGTAGCGCCCCCGTCCATCACCATCACCCTCATATAAGTCATTTTGCTTTTCTGCCTCTCAGTTGTGACTTGAAGCCAGTTTGTTTATTCTAGTGAAGTCAGTATTGAGGAATTAGTAGTGCTGTGAGGATTCAGAGGGCGGAAATGTGTACGTATATCTATATTATGATAAAAATGCATCTGTCACAATCTCCCCTCGCACAGTTGTGTGTCTGGGTTTGCCAACAGCCACGGGCCAAAGCTGATCCTTCCACTTCACCTGCAGTTGGTGCTTTCCAAACTTAACCTCACTGACTTTGGGCAAATAGTCAATAAATACCCTGTTCTGATTTTCTTCCAGATTCTCTTTGGCCCAAAATCCGGGTCCCATTAAAAGTCGTGAGGACCGCTGAAAACAAGCTGAGCAACCGCTTCTTCCCTTACGATGAAATCGAGACCGAGGCCGTGCTGGCCATCGACGACGACATCATCATGCTGACCTCCGACGAGCTGCAGTTTGGCTACGAGGTGAGGAGGTTTGAGCGGTGAATTTAAGGGCTCACCATCTACCGCTGTGACTGCTGGCCTTTCTTGAAAAAGCGGCATCATATTTCATTCTCCAAAGTCCGCATCCTGAAACTCTCCCAGCAGAGTTCAAAAGCTGAGCATGAGAGCTTGGATTAGGAAGCTGTCCTTTAACAACCCCGGGGAAACCCCGTCCCCAAACAGCAAGCCTGAGGAGGTCCCAAGGTGGGGGGACCCAGGGGACAGTTTCTAAAGCACGTATGTAGCATTTCCCAGGTTGTGTCCTTGAGCAGCAGACCCTTGATTTGGGCAGCTGGGCCCCTGAACAGTAAAAGTGGCATCTAATGCCACGCTGGGGGACAGGATGCAGTGCCTGCTGCTGGCCGGCTCCCTGGGTCTAAGTGGTGAGGCTGCCAGCCGTCCTCAGGGAGAAGCGTTTTCTGTCACCGCTCCTTCAGTGCGGCTGATGGATTAGGCCAGGTTCAGGGGTTAAGTATGGAGACCAGGAAAGGTCTTCCCAGGGGAAAGTGCCGAGCCCTGCCCGGGGAGAGGCAGCAGGAGCTGACTCGGCCTGTCAGGGAGGATATTGCACTTGAGACAGGACAGGGACAGCAAAGGCCTGCACTGCAAAAGGGTGGTGGTATCAGCCCCAGCACTGGGGGTGCATAAATCACTTAGCCACAGCTGGCGTGGGGGAGTGCTGAGATTTATCCCCCGTGCTCAGCCAGCCTTTCAGAGGAGGGAGCAACTATTTTCTTTCCTTGATTGAAATTTGTTGAATTACGAGTTCTTAAGAAATCATGAAATGTTATTAAATGAAGCTGTACTTGGTACATGTATTTATCGAAGAAATTTATTTTGAGATCCTGAAACCAAAACTAGATTTTTTAAGGGGAAGAAACAGGAAACCGCCACCACCAAAAAATTAAGCATTTAAGATTTCCCTGTTTTGTTCTGTTTTTATAGTTCCAGCTAAGTGTAAAAGAAATTGTTCTGAAAGAGATTGATGTGTGATACCCTGGTCAGTACTCTACTGCCAATGAAAGGCATGAGCGTAGCTAATAAAACATGCATTCGTCTTTTGGGATTTATTTTCAGTCGTCAGAGATGACTTTTACACCATCTCTTGTAGGATATTGGGTGACATTTGGTAGACCAGTATTCCCTTTAAGTCAACAACAAAAAAAGCAAACTGCCCACTTGTTTCTCTAGCCAAGTCGTGAGAAAAGACAGTGTTTATCCACTTACATCTTCCCCCGCTGTTGTATACAGTGGCTTCAGACTCTACCCGTGTGTTGGTTTTTGTGGCAAAGGTGAGATGGAAAAGAGGATATTCAGATTGCTGTGGCCATGGTGACAGCATTTCCAGGAAGTCTATAACAGAGAGGTAAACAGGTCACCACTGCCCTCTTTGGCTTGGGTTCCATTCTGTGCCAGGACTGAGGCCAGGAGGTTGGCTCCTCCATCTCCCACTGAGAGAATCTCTAGAAGGAGCATTTCACAACCAGCTACTCTGTGTTCTGCTCCAGTCCTGCCCAGGTCCCCAGTGCTTACACACAGTATTTCTGGCCTTTGCACAACAAAGAACTATGATGCTCATGTTTCCCTCGTTCTGTGCTCACATTAAACAAGCTTAGATAACCTGCCTGAAACCACAGGCAAAAAGTACAAGAAGTACTGTGTCTTAGTTACTTTTCTCTCCTTGCAAAGACAAAATACTTGACACCCAAAGTTAAAGGAGAAGTTTAGTTAGCTCACAGTGTGTGGAGGTTTCAGTCCATAATTGGCTGGCTTCAAGGCGGAGTAACATATAGCAGAGGGGTCACAGTTCATGACGACGGAAGATACTAAAAGCAACAAGAGCCAAAAGGAGAAGCAAGCTCTCTCTGGTCCTGATCCAGCCATCACCCAGGCTCATTCCCAGGACCCTTAATCCCAGCTTTGCACTAGGAGTCAGTCACAAACTCTAGATTCAGCTACCTCTGAAAAAGCTTCCCTCTTTTCATGACTGAATGAGGCTTTGGGGGACAACCAGATACAAACCATAACACATTGCTACGTAAACTCAAGTTTGTTTGACACCACCCTATCTTCCCTGACAATTTCACCCTGCATGGTGCCTGTCAGAGCACTGATCCTTAGCAGTGGAATTCAGAGCCGTTAGCATATAGTTTTCCATCACCAGATTATTTTGATGCTGGTAGACTTTTAGGAACCCCTACCCCTGTTGCTTGTTAGGGTCCTTGTAGCATTATTTCTTGCATGCTAATGAGTATTATAGATAAATGAGAGTTCCATGCCCAGATTTCTTCTCCATCACCAACCAGTGCATAACCATGAGCATGGTATTCATTCTTCCTGGGTTTTATTCTTGGCAAGGACGGTATCCATGTGTAAGGCTACCATGTGCATTGGATAAGAATGCAGAGTCCCTGCTTGTGAGAAGTAGCTATAGAGAACTTGTGCTGGGTAGTGGATAAAAAGTTTTATCTATAATAACCAAAAACTGGAGGGGAAAAGGAACCAGTACATACCAACAGTTTAGTGGCCAAACACAGAGTGGTGCATCCCTGCGGTTGTGTGCTTCGCTGGTGTAACTCCTACTGCTGTTCTTTCCGGGACAGCAGCCCTTCGTTATTCTGTGCAGGGTCCTACTGTGATTCATGAGAGACTCTGTCCTACCGTTATACAGAGGGAGGTTTCTCTCCTGGAGAGGGCGCCCCCTTTAGTGCTGATTCAGAAGGCAGAAGATGATGGGGCCCCTATATCCTGTTTTTATGCCAAAGCATGGGATGAATGTTCTGGAAGAACCGGAGGTGTGGCTAAGTGAGTAAACAAATCAGTTATTAAAAATCCGCATCCTAGGAGGGTTATCCTGGAGCCTAGACCCACGTCTTCTCAGTGCTTATCATAGTCCTTTGCGATCATATATTTCGTTATTCCTGAGTCCTTCCACACTCACTTGGAGCCTCCGGTCTAAGGTAGGTCCGGAGCGCTCTGCACTGCATTGTGAGCAAGTGTTTTATGTCCCATTTCCCTTCTAAGATGCCGGCACCAAAGGGCAGACACTGCGGCTGCCTCCTTTACTGCCTCTGTCCTCTGTGCTGTCCCCACGCACTTGCATTCCGCAGATGCTCAGCAATATCTGATAAGCAAGGCGTCTGCCTTACCAGCAGGGCTGTCAGGAGTTGAGTGGGGAAAACACACAGGAGCAGAGATCTACAGGGGAACACGACTGAGCAGGAAGCAGCAAGGAGCCATTGCTACACCTGGCGGTGCGAGTGTTTGACAGCATGATTACGCTGCGTTGTGAAGTGAGGGGAAACGGGTGCGTTTATTCTCTCAACTGGGTGCTGTGTTTACTGATACATGTTAAAGCATCAGATTATACATTTCAAGTACATTCCACTTATTCTGTTCCAACTATATTACCAAAAAGCTATCAAAAGGGGTCATATTTATATACTTGGAGTGGAAGAAAAATGAAATACCTCAACAGTTTAACAGAGTGTGTGCCAGGCATGCCCAGGGGAACCTGCAAGAGGCTACCGAGAGAAACCGAAGATCAAAGAGCAATGCCATGGATGGAAGGAGGACTATGCTTATGGGTGCCAGGCTCACTGCCGTGGAGGGGTCAGTGCCCCCAAATTGTTCTGCGGATTCAAAGCAAGCCCTATCAGAAGCCCAGATGGCCTTCGTTGTTTTCCTGAAATGGACAAGCAGGTTCTAGAGTTGAAACACAGCAGTCCTGAAAAAAGCAAAGCACAGCCCAGTAAGGTATGTTGCACTTGTAATCTCTGCACTCTAGGAGGCTGAGGCAGGAGCATCACAAATCAAGCACAGCCCAGGCAATGTAGCAACTTAACAAGACCTTGTCTCAAAAAAAATAAAAAGAAAAAAGAAACAGCCAAGTGATTTTGATAAAGAACAGAGTTGCAGGACTTATGCTGTTCTATTTTAAGACTTATTGTAAAGCTATACAATCAAGACACAGTGGTATTGGTCAGTGAAAAGGACGAAGCAGACAAAATAGACCACCCATGTATGGTCAGTTAATTTCCAGCAAAGGAGCTGAGTTGGGTCAGTAGACAAGACAGTCCTTTTATTGAATGGTGCTGCAATATTTATAGCCATGTTTTTTTTTTAATTTATAACATTAACCGTATAGTCTATACCAAAACTCAACTCAAAATGGATTCTAGTTCCAAATGTCAGAGCTAAAGATATAAAATTTCTTGAAGAAAAATCTTAGTATACTAGAATTGGACAGTGATCCTTAAATAGGAGACAAATTATATGCCACAAAAGAAAAAAATGGATAAATTGGACCTCGTTGAAGTGCACACCACTTGAGAAGATGACAATTCTGGGGAAAATGAAAGGATAAGTCGTAGATTGGGGGAAATATTTACAGAACATGTGTGTGATGCAGGGCTTGTATCCATAATACATCAGCAGCCCTCTCAACTCATTGCAATACCAAAGAAGATACAGAACAATAAAAGCAAAGACAGACAGGTGGACTGTGTGGAATTAAAAGGCTTTGCACAGTAAAGGAGACAGAGAAAGACAACCCACAGATTAGGAGTACGTATTTACAAGTCATACGTCAGATAAGCTCATGTCCAAAATATATGAAGAACTCAAGACTACGTAGTAGCAAGAAAACAACCCTATTGGGAGTAGCCAGAGGACATCAAAAGACAGTTCTCAAAAAGCTGATGGATACGTGAAAATGTGCTGGACCTCACCAAACTTTGGGGACATGCAGGTTGAAACCACAATGAGAGAGCACCTGACAGCTGTTAGAACAGCTTCTGTCGATAGATTGGTGAGGCCGCGGAGAAAGCCCTTCTACCCTGCTGAAATGTAAATAACACAGCCATTTCAGAAAATGATACGAGACTGTCAGAGAAAACCAGAAGAGAATTCCCGTGCGACCCAGCATTCCACTTGTGGATATATACCCAAAGGAAATGAAGAGTATGTGATTTAAAACAAAA